TAAGTAAATAATTAGAAAATGTTTTGTTCCAAATTTAAGTGAACTTTCAATGTACTACTTTGTATTGTAATTGATTAAATGTGGTCTATTGAACTGCTAACTAAGGAAAAATGTTTTGACACTTTAATTATGAAAAAAATTAGCTCAATGACAGCAAAAATATAATAGATCAAACCGAACTTAGTGGAAAATAAAAAGCAGGTAGTAAGTAAACAGATTATGCAGCAGAATGGTTACAAAAGGAGTGTTTTGAAGTAGATGCAAATGTTGGAAATTTGGCAAGAACTCAATGCAGATGAGAAAATTTCTTTTGGCTCTAATCCTTTTCATGATCTATGTAAGCTCCAGGCAGATTTTTAAAAATATGTAGTATTTTCATATTAACATGTGGAATAAGCAAATAAAATTTACAGAGTGAAAAATAGATAAAACATGAAGAATCACTTCGACCAAGATATAGCACATTGGGTTATCCAAATTCAGATGAAAGTCAGTGGGATAATTGTAAGGAATTCTATAATTGGAGTGCAGATGTCTTCCTCAATAAGTATGTTTGAGAGTCCCTCATGGTATGTTACCTACCAGGTGGCAGATCTCAAATAGGCTCAAAAGTCTATTAGAGAGATGGGGAGATGATCCAGCCATTGTGATCCATTGAGACCAGTAACAGACAAGAGTAGGAGGAAGGTCCCATTTGAAGAGTCCCAGCAACTAGCAGCTAAGATTAAAGAATGGGACCCGAAGGGCTGTGATCTTTGCATTATTATTCAAACCATGTGGAAATTGCCTTACAGTCTTTTTTTGTGCAAAGACGTGGAATAGTGTGGGGGAAAAGGGGTTTCATAGCGTGTAACACTGGTACCAGTTCTGCGGAAAAAAAAAACAAGTAACTACTGTTGGAACGGGCTTCCATTAAACTGGACTCGGACAGGGGTCAGAGTGGAAACAATAAATACAGGTGGTGACAGGAATTAAAACTAGTAATTTTGTGGGGGACAACGGGAATAGAAAGGTAGGGAAAAGAGTGGTCAGGAGCATTGTGGGCTTTTTAAAAAAAATATTAATTCATGGGATCTCAGCGTCATTGACTAGGTCAGCATTTATTGCCAATTTCAAGTTGCCCTCAAAAAGGTGGGGATGAGTGGCTTTTTGAACCCATTCAGTACAAGTATCCCCACAACGCTTTCAGGGAGGAGCTTCCAGGACTTTGATACAGCCAACTGTTAGGATTGGCAATATATTTTCAAGTCAGGCTGATGGAGTAACGTGGAGGGGAAATTACAGGTGGTAGTGTTCCCATGTATCTACTTCCCCTGCTCTTCTAGATGGTAGCAATTGTGGGTTTGAAAGGTGCTGTCTAAGGAGTTTTGCCGAATTAGGTGCTACACACTACTGCTCCTGTGTGCAAAGATGGGGTGAATGTATGTCAATGTGGTACCATTCGAGTGGACTGCTTTGTGCTGGATGGTGTCAAGCTTCTTGAGTGACTTTGGAGCTACACTCATCCGGCCATACTACTGACTTGTGCCTTGTAGATGGTGGATGTGCTTTGGGGAGTCAGGTGGTGAGTTACTCACTGCAGGATTTCTAGCTTCTAACCTGCTCTTGTAGCCACTGTATTTATATGGCTAGTCCAGTTTGGTGACTGGTCAGTATTGATATTGGGGGATTCAGTGATGGTAATGCAATTAAATGACAAGGGGAGATGGTCATTGTTTAGCATTTATGTGATACAAATGTTCCTTTGTCATTTGTCAGCCCAAACCTGTTTATTGTCTAGGTACTGCCAGATTTAGATATTTATTACTTCAGTGTCTGAGGAGTTGCAAATGGTTCTGAACTTTGTGCAATCATCAGCAAATATCTGCTCTTCTGACCTTATGCTGGAGGCAAGGTCATTCATGAAGCAGCTGGAAATGATTGTGCTGAGAACATTCCCTGAGAAAATTCAACAGGGATATCCTGGGGCTGAGATGTCTGACCTCCAATAACTACTATCATTTTCCTCTGTGCTAGTTAAGACTCCAACCAACACAGAGTTTTGCCCCAATTCCCAACGAAACCACACTCAGTCAAACATGGCCTTAATGTCAAGGGCAGTCACTCCCACCTCCCTTCTGGAATTCAGCTCTTTAGTCCATGCTTGAACCGAGGCTAGAATGAGGTCAGGAGCTGAATTGCCCTGTAGTCCCCAAATTGACCCCAAACTGAAAATTAGGAAATGACAGACATGTTGATTATTTAGTTTGTACAAGTACTTACGGTTGAGGAAAGGATCAGCATGCTGAAAATTCCAAAGAACTAATATTGATTCAGGAAAAGGAACTCCTCAAAATCAACAGAAGCCAAACCAGAATGAAGAAAGTAATGGTACAAAACATAGAAATCCTTAAAATCAGATGGTTTCTATCCCAGGATTTTAAAGAATGTAGATGCGCACATTAAAAAAGGCCCCAACTATTACACTCCAAAGTTTCCAATTTTGAAAGTATACTTCTGGTTAGTAAATTGCACACATCTCTTTATTCAAGAAAGGTGATAAAGGGATATGAAGTGAGGCAATCTGAAGCTGACAAGTGCAATTTAGTGCACCTATTAGGAAGAGCTAGGTTAAACAGAAATCAATTGTGAGGGGTCAATAAGGATAACTTCCCCTCATCCAGTGGTTTATTAAATTACTAACCAGAAGGCTACCATTAGGAACTTCAGTAATTAAAGATATCGGTTAATTTTATGAGAATTTTTTGTCAGCGAAGTGTGAAAACTTAGATGTAGGGCAGTACGGAAATTTGCCAAGGCACTGGGACCATAGGAAAATTTTGTGTTTAAAGACGAACTCAGTCATGGCAAAAAGTGAAAAGCTTTAGTCTCTATGAAGCTCTGTGTATGCAAAAATCGAGAATTGGAATGTTGTCTTTGGCCTCTTTGGAAGGCAAGACTTTGGAAAAGTAAGAGACATAAGTGAATGTGAAAAGACATTATGTAATGGTGTAAAGCTACATAAAAAAAGATAACTGGTTGGTCAAGATTTGACACGGGGCTGAAGATGATAGAGAAAAAGATAATAGCCAGAGTGAAAGATGTCCTGACATTGTTTACATATGACAGACAAACCATCCACACCCAAGAAGATAAGCATAGGAGAGAGAATTAGAAGGCCAAAAGACCAAAAACTACAAGACGTCAACATGTGCTCTCCTTCTCACTATAATTCAAGGAGGACAGGAAATCCTTGCATAAATTATTGTCTGGTCCCTGAAAATCATGACTTTAAATGAAACAACTTTAAACAAAGCACTAATGTTGATTTTTCTGGGAATCAAAGCAAGGTTAAACAGAAATCAATTGTGAGGGGTCAATAAGGATAACTTCCCCTCATCCAGTGGTTTATTAAATTACTAACCAGAAGTTCTTGCAGATATTTTCGGCTCAAAAAAAAAAATCAATACAACAAATCACTAAATATAAAAGAAATATTGTACAGTTAGATACTTAGGACCTTTCTCAGCACTAGGTATAGCCCAGGACTCCATTCCTAATTCAGACTACAAGGTGGCAGCAAAAGCTGACACCAGATGTTTAAAAGATAAGAACTTTACAGTGTTGAACATTAAAGGACAGAACGAAAAAGTGGGATTGAGAGCAGTGGCAGGAACAGGAAGAAGGCCATTGGGAACAGAGTATGGGAGAAGAAGCATGGGTAAAGTTCTTAAGAGCAGATAGATCACACAGGTAGAAAACAACCTTAAATATATTGTCCCTATTTTACTAACAACTTTAACGTAAAATAACTTTAAGTGAATCAACTTTAAATGGGGACTCCCTGTACGTAGCCCATGTTAGACAGAAAATCACTGCTGGAGTTTATTGCAATAGTTAATGTGAGAAGGCTACAATGTTATAACTTCATCTCATTACAATATTCACATGACTGAACTTTTTTGCTTTTTTCCAAAACAATTAGGAGTTTGAAAAAACTCAGGAATGTTTGTGGATATTATTTATATGGGCTTGTAGTGAGTCTTAGTAACGGACTGTTGACTGAAAATGAAACCTCATGGGTTTGAAGCGGTTTTGCTGACTTGGTTAAGAAATTGTTTCCTGGCATTATGCCAATGAGTAGGGACACTGGCAGGTACCCCAACTGGCAGGATGTGACTACTGGTGTCCCACCAGGACGTGTTTCAGGGCCTCAACTAGTCACTGTATTCTCTAATGATTTAGATGATAGGATGAAAAAAAACCTTCATATTTGCTGATGACAAGGATAGGTGCTGTTCCAAACAGTGTTGGAACATAGAAATAGGAATAGACATTCAGCCTATTGAGCCTATGCCACCATTCAGTGTGATCATGGTTTATCAAACACATCAATGCCTTTTATCCATCCCATTCCCATAATCCTATATGACATTGTAATGAGTAAGCAGTATATGCAGCAGTATAAAATTGCAAAAAGATATTGATAAATTAATTAAATGTAAAAAAACTGTGGAAAATATATTTTAAAATGTGATGTTATCTACTTAGGATCTAAAAGCAATCTAACAGTACAGCTTCTAAACAGTAGAAAGCTGGAAACAGAGGAGGTCCCAAAAAAGCTGATAGAAGTAAGGTGTGGGACAGGTATATAAATAGGTTGTATAAACACCAGAACTGGGGCAGTGAATAATCAGAAAGGCTAATGGAATGTGTTTTTCATACCGAAAAAACTACATTATAAAAAGGGGTAGAAGTCACACTTAAGGCATACAAAGCACTGTCTAAATCAGATGGAGCAATGGACATTGCATCTTAGGAAACATATATTGGCCTTGCAGCACAAATTTGAACATAGAAACACAGAAAATAGGACAGCAGGCCATTCAGCCCTTTCAGCCTGCTCTGCCATTCAATATGATCATGGCTGATTATGCAACTCCAGACCCTGCTCCCACTTTCTGCCCATGACCCTTATAAGTTAATAATCATAGATTGAATGCCAAAAGTATTTTACTTACTTCATTCTTGGAGGTCTTTAATGATGCCTCTGGTAAGAAAATAAAGAAATCAAGTTATTCTACAATACAGACTAGTTTAGTCACAACTCACGCTGAGCTGGAATGGAGTTCCCAAGCAGCATAGCACTTAGATCAGACTGACTTTCATTTTATTATCCATGTTTAATAACATATTTGCTACAATCTCCTCTCATGCTTTCATTGCAATTCATAACTACATTCTCACAACTCTAATTTTATTGCAGCACTCATACTAGGTTGATTTGCAATCAAAATTTTAGAATGCTCTCGCTGTTGGATTTGATTTGGCCATGGAAGCACCGACTTCTTTCTCTTAATACTTGCCAAATTAACAGATCCAACAAGAAAGCCAAGGTGATTGCCATTATCTTTACAAAGCACTAATTTTAGAATTTAATACAAATTCAATGCACGAAAAAAAGCAAGGTATCACAGTCATCAATAACTCAGGTGTGCCTATTTCTATATCCCAAATTCCTTTCCAGAGCCTTGTGATCTCAGTCTTATGACAATCACCTACACAATATGGTCATAGACATTCTGTTCAGACAGCTATCTCAGTTTGTCACTATGCCAGAAGACTTGCCAAGCAGAAAGAGTTAGCAACCAACTTTTATAAACCAAGCTCCCTTAAATATAGGGCAAAATGGATTATATTCATGATGTTGTAGGCCTTGTATGCAAACTATCTTAGTTGCATTGATGAAGATTCCCAAGAAATTCTTCAGAAGTTTTTCCCCATTTTCAACTAATCTTTATCAAAGATTCACAGAAAATTTAGAATAACAAAATTAACAGTTTTTTTTGTTGTAAATGTGTGTATAGGAATTAATCACAAGGAAATGTGACAGGTAATGTATACAGGCATGATTCAATTATATATTGCCTGTTTTAATTTCCACTCTACAATGTTAGCCATGGTTTTCAGAGTAACGAGATTGTAGTCCTTTTCATCACACAGCCCATTTTAAACAGCCAGAAGCAGATGGTGTCATGCAAGATTGCTACCTCGCACATTTTGTTGCCCAGTGTGTATGGCAACATTTGTAAATCTTAAAAACCAAGAGTTTTTTCTTTTACAAATGGGTTTAGCAAGATGTCCAAAGACATAATTTCATGAAAGTTTTCAAACATGTTTCAAAAGTACAGACTTTTTTTTTGCAATTACTAAATGCACTTATGAAATTTTAAATGTCGTAAATTGAAAACACATGGAGTAAACAAATCATTCACTACACTTCATTCCAGGTCTATTTATTAGACTTCTCTAAATGCAATTTGTCTGCCACTAGAGCTAGATCATTATTGCAAATGAAAAATGACGATACAATAAGCTTGGAAATGTTGCATATCTGAGATATTCTGTTGTTTATTTTTATGTTTTAATTTTCTCCCCTCAAATTTGGTATATTATATTCAATAAATTGATTAAAGTAGTGTCAAGGCATTATAGGGAGCACAATGTGGGCAGAAATATATAAACATAGAAAAGAGGAGAAATGGGCTATTCGGCCCATCGAGCCTGCTCTGCCTGATGATGTCTAATTCTCTATCTCAATATCACACTCCTGCTCTCTCCCTACACCCTTTGACACTTTTTGTCTATTTTCTCTTAAACATATTCAGTGACTTCACCTCTACAGCTTTCTGTGGTGGAGAATTCCACAAATTCACACCTTTAGTGAGGACATTTTACCTTGTTTCAGAATGAAATAGCCAACCACATATCCTGAGCTCATGACCTCTTGTTCTGAATCACCTTGAATCCATTATGTCGACCGGTCAGAATTTTGTCTGTTTTAATAAGATCCCCTCTCATTCTTCCAAACTCCAGTGAAAATAGGCCTACGTGACCCAACTCTCCCCATTCAATAAACCCGTCTCCTAGGAATCAGTCCGGTGTACCTTCATTTCACTCCCTCCATAGCAAATCTTATCTTGGGTAAGGAGACCAAACTGCACATAATAAACTAGGTATGGTCTCATCAAGGCCCCGTATAACTGCTGTAAAGCTTCCTTGTTCCTGTACTCAAAGTCTCTTGTAATGACATTCAACATACCATTTGCCTTCCCAGCTGCTTGGGAACAAGGATATCTAGATCCCACTGTATCTTGAAACTTCCCAAACTATCACCATTATACACTGCCATTCTGTTTTTCCTACCAAGTGGACAATTTCACATTTATCCATCAGCATTAGCACAGGTAATAGCCACACATTGGCTCACTCAACTTGTTTAAAATCACCTTGAAGGCTCTTTACATATTCCTCGCCAAACAATTTCAAATTCATCTAGTTATGTATTGTTAGGAAATTTGGAGGTATTACATTTGATTGCCTCATCCAAATCATTGATATATATTGTGAATAGCTGGGGCTGATTGATGTGGTACTCCATTTGTCATTACCTTCCACTCCAAAACAAAACTCATTTATTCCCACTTTGGTTAACAGACAGGAAACAATCCTCAATCTATAACAATCCTACACGCTTTGATTTTGCACGCTGACCTCTTGTGGGAGTTCGTCAAAAGCTTTCTGAAAATCCAAATACACCACACTGGTTCTCTCTCATCTTCCTCCTGGTTATGTCCTCAAGAAACTCCAGTAGATTTGTCAAACCTAATTTCCCTTTCATAAATCCACATTGTGTGTAATCCTGTCCTATTTTCTAAGTCTCATGCTATCACATCCTTGAAATTACTTTCTCTACTGATGATATTAGGCTAATCAGTTTGTAATTCCTTGTTTTCCCCTCTCTCTCCTTTTTTAAATAGTGGGGTTACATTTGCCAGTCCCCAATCTGTCAGGGCTGTTTCAGAACGTATAGAACATTGGAAGGTGACAACCAATGCATCCACCAATTTCCCAGGCACTTTCTTTAGTACCCTGCATGTAGATTATCAGGCCCTAGGGATTTATCAACTAGTAGTCCTATCAATTTCATGAACACTTTTTTTTTGTGATATTAATCTCCTCGAGTTCCTCCTCCCCGATAGATACTTGTTTCCCTAGCTTTTCTGGAAAGTATGTCTTCTTCTGGAAAGCACTAAATTAGTTGTTTAACTGCTCTGCCATTTTCCTGCTCTCTGCTATTAATTCTCCTATTTTAGATCTTCAAGGGCCTACATTTTTGAAGAAGAGTCATACTGAATTCAAAATGTTAATTCTGTTTCTCTCTCCACGGATGCCACCAGAACTGCCGAGTTTCTCCTGCATTCTGTATTTGTTTCAGATTGCCAACATCGGCAGTATTTTGCTTTTATTTAAGGGCTACATTTGTCTTCACTAATCTTTTTCTTTTTATACACCTGGAAAAGTGAATGAGGAGTTTCTATATTTCTTGTATGTTACTCGTACTCGATTTTTCCCCCTCTTCAACCTCTTGTTTCTCCTTTGCTGAATTCTAAAATGCTTCCAGACCTCAGATTTGTCACTTTTTCTAGCAACTTGGGGACTCATCTTTGGATTCAAGTCCATCTTTTATTTCCTTTGTAAGCAATAGTTCGGCCACTGTTCCTGTTGTGTTCTTTTGCCTGAAAGGAATGTATAACAGTTGCAAAGTGAACGTTCAATCCTTAGTATTAGGCATTGCCTATCAAATATCATATCAGTTGGTAAAATAACCCAGTCCATCGCAGCCACTTCATCCCTCATACTTTTTTTTTTTAAGCTTCCTTTATTTTGATTTAATACCCCAGTTTTGGATTGACTACTTCACTTTCTATCTCACTCACAATTCTAATGTTAAAGCCACTTTTCCTAATTTGCATGCAACATATCAACTTAGCAAGTCACACGTGACCACTAGTCAAAAATGCCTGGAGGGGACCGGATCTAATTTTGCTTCAAGATTGTCACTGTGTATGGTCAGTGCAAAATCTCTGCAAGTAGTTTTTGGGGAACACATGTGGACAAGGAATCCAGCAAGATGGCCAAATGTGAAGAGTTTGCAACAGCACCTTGAAAAGAAAGGTAGAAGCATCAGGAACTATGAAAAGAAATGGCACTTCAGAGCAGCAGACAACATATTGCAAAATGAACACCAGCATAGAACTGACTTTCGGAATACTTTCAGGGTGAAAACCCATAGGGGGCTGCATAAAAATGTCCCCCCCAAATCTCCACGCATTTTTCCTTGGTTGCAGCTGAAGATCATTTTAACTTACACACACAATGGCTACCTCCCAACTTGTACCTGTAGCTTCATGCAGTCAATAGGAATATGAATTACAATCCAGCTGTACAGGTTTAGAACAGATGGCATTTTTTTTACATATATTAGATTATCATAGCATACATTTAATTGAGAATTCAAAGACAATAATGGAATCCAGCTGGATTTTGCATCTTAAAATTCCTTCTATATGGGGTTCCCATATCAGAAGGCAGGCACTACGTGGTAGCAATGTTTTCACTATGGCAAGTGCAAAGCACAAGTTAGCTGCAAACAACCAAGATACTTGGAGTGAGAGAGACATTGTTCATGAACAAACATGACTTCAGAACAAATGGAGGTGATAATGTCTTTTGTCTCAGTAGAAAGGCAAAAATTAAATTGCTTTTTGAAACCTACCTATTTTCAAAGTCCTTTGAGCTCCAGGTTTCCTAGTGTAGCAGATTCTCTGCAGCTCACATTTTCCTGTTATTTTTCTGAGGACAAACTTGAGAAACCTCCACAGACACTTGCAGTAAACGTATAGACAAAGCTGAACCAACATTCTGTAGTCAAGCAACAAACACAAGTGTTAAATTCAAGGATAATTCCAGACAAGAGATACTTCCATTCAACAAGTACAATACATAATCAACAACTTAAAAGAACTTGGATGTTAACCCATGCTGAAGTCAGTTCTTTTTGCATTTTGCAAACAAAAGAACATGTACTAGATTTCGAAAAAAATTTCTTTGCAATCTACATTATAATCCCTTTTTCCAACAAAACTGGGAGTGTCCTAATGTGATGTAGCAAAAGTTTACAGAACACAGTTAACTAATCTGCTTCACTTTCCCTTTATGTAGCATAGTCAGCAGAGTTCGGGCTGCAACTGTGTTTTGACAATCCTAGAGGTTTCATCACATGATTTCTAGTTTTAAAATCACTGCATCAGTTGTTCTGTATTTTACCTTCATCTCCAGTAATTGCATTTATAGAAGTCTGAAAATAAGATGACAAAATACAATATTAAAAACTTAACTATAGATTTTCCTCCTGATTTGCCACCAACATTGTCCAGAACATTAAATCTGTAATTGCTGGAAGTGCCATGATGATCTGTGAAGATTGACGATCTAACCACAACTCGCAGCATGATGGAAGCAACAATTTTCTAAGTGGAAGATTAAGCATTAGACAAGAACCCACGTTATCCAATCTTACCTAATTGTTGCCAAAACATTTAATGTCTTCAACTATTACCATTTTTTGAAATAGTCAATTTTTAAAAGTTGCTTTATTTTGCTAACCTAGAAATGATGCAGCATTCAGTCCATTAAATCTATGCAAACTCTTTGAATTCAGTCACATGTTCAGCTCTTTCCACATAAAATCTCTACACTTTCTCTTCAACTACTTATTCAATTCCCTTTGGGAAGGTACTATTAAATCAGTTAACAGAATCCCTGATCTTGCTGCTATATCCCAACATTGCTCCTGCTTCATGTTTCACCATGCCTAATTTTTTTTTTGTAACGATCCCTTCCCTGTCCAATGGCTAATTTCCTTTATTTTTTCCCAAATGACAAACAACTCAGAATGGAGGGAAGCTTATAACTGGTCCTCTGACCATGGTACTCAACAACTAAAAGCATATGACAAGTGCTCACAAACCACTTTTATTTACATTCTCTCTCTTAGTAAAAACAGCTGGACTCCATCTTGTACCAACTGATAGTAATGCAGCTGAGTTTAACCAACTTGTCCGGGAGTGTTATGTCATGACACACCTCTGGAGTCGGTTGAACTCAAACACAGGCCTCCCAGCTTAGATGTAGAGACACAATCACTGTACCACAACAGCCCCAGCTGAGTTTAAGTACAAAGCGGGAAAATCAAATACACCAATGGCAGACTGGGCCCTAACAACTCCAAAAACAATATCTAAAGCACAGTGCAACATGACAGTTGTAAACCTAGCTGTAAGAAAAGTCGAGACAACAAGGTGCAGGGCTGGATGAACACAGCAGGCCAAGCAGCATCATAGGAGCAGAGAGGCTGACGTTTTGGGCCTAGACCCTTCATCAGAAAAGGGGGAGGGGAAGGGGGTTCTGAAATAAATAGGGAGAGAGTGGGAGGCGGATAGAAGATGGATAGAGGAGAGGATAGGTGGAGAGGAAACAGACAGGTCGAAGAGGCGGGGATGGGGCCAGTAAAGGTGAGTGTAGGTGGGGAGTTAGGAAGGGGATAGGTCAGTCCAGGGAGGACGGACAGGTCAAGGGGGCGGGATGAGGTTAGTCGGTAGGAGATGGAGGTGCAGCTTGAGGTGGGAGGAGGGGATAGGTGGGAGGAAGAACAGGTTAGGGAGGCAGGGACGAGCTGGACTGGTTTTGGGATGCGGTAGGGGGAGGGGAGATTTTGAAACTTGTGAAATCCACATTGATACCATTGGGCTGCAGGGTTCCCAAGCGGAATATGAGCTGCTGTTCCTGCAACCTTCGGGTGGCATCGTTGTGGCACTGCAGGAGGCCCAGGATGGACATGTCGTCTGAGGAATGGGAGGGGGAGTTGAAATGGTTCGCGACTGGGAGGTGCAGTTGTTTATTGTCAGGTGCTTTCACTGACATAAGTTCAAGCAACAAGATCAATAATTATCTAGTACCATGTGATTTCCAAGAAATGTCTTCTAAAAAAAAATTCCACTGTCCTTTTATCCACTTCTTTTTAAGTAAAACAAATATCCAGGTATCCACTGTCTTTCAAATTTAAGTCCACAAAAATTATTTCATCTGAAGTCATCTAATTTCCAGAATATGATTGACATCTTCCAGGACTTCTGTCCTTTCAACATCATCACTCTAGATTTTCTTCAGAGGACAGCTGTTCCTCAAGTATGAAGCTGAATTGTTTGCAGCACTCTGAATATGCCATTTTCTGCACATTTAGCTTTCTTGGTGTCAAGTTAGTGTTGGGCTTGTTTTTGGTGAGATTGCAACATTCATCTTGGAACATAGCATCATGAGTTCTGTACAGTCTCTCATAATGCTAGTGATCATAAACATCTTTTAAGTTGCTTTGCTGGGCAGTGTGAAAGTCTGTTTTATGCCAATGTTTAAGATTGTGGGTGTATCCAGTTGTACCTTGTCTTCTGTCTAAAGATGGTATTGGTGATTTTCATTCCAGTGAGTGCTAAGACTCAGTTGTTTCTCCTTGTGGGAGAGACTAGGGCCAGGGTATATACTCTCACAAGGGTTGTCCATTTAGGACAGAGTTGAGGGGGGAATTTCTGTTCACAAAAGGTTTGTGAATACATGGAATTCTAACTGCAGAGGGCTGTCGAGGTTGGGGTGATTGAGTATACTCAAGGCTGAGACAGATTTTTAATCAAGGGAATCAAGGGTTATAGGGAAAAGGCAGCAAAGTAGAATTTGGAGAGAATCAGATCAGCCATAATGTCATTTGAATCTTCTCAGATGTTCATCGGCTGAATGCATACTTCTGGTACTCTGACTTATGGTCTGATGATCTCTTCATCTATGCCATTAATGGCCACAGCACTGATCCCTGTGGCACCCCACTGGTTATAATTTGCCAAACTGAAGTCAGACATAATCCTAGAGGTCTATAGCACATGAAAAGGTCCTTTGGCTCATCAAGTCTGCACTAGTCAAAAACAAGCATCTAACCATTCGAATTTTGTTTTCCAGTACTTGGCCCATCAGCTTTGTATGCCTAAGTAGGCAAATGTCACCAAGATTGTGGCAGTGGAGAAGGCAGCGTCCAGGCTCAGCCCAGGGCTCACCCTTCCTTTTCTCGTTCTTCTCTTCTTAAAGTTTTTTTAAAAACTTACCTCGTGGTGAGAATGGCAGTGATGGCATTGGAGCATTGCAGCTGCTGAGGGATCAGAGCAGGACAGAGTGCAGGCTGGGGCCGAGCAGGGCAGCTGGCAGACTGGAGCCTGGTGGGGTTAGCGTGTCACAGAAAGAAGTCAGTGGCTTGCGAGTCCGGTTGAGGTCAGCCCAGCATGGTGAAAAGCCCCCAGCGTGGAGTGACTGCAGGCTATAGAAGGACTGTAATGTTTACCTTTTAACTTTACTTCTTTGTTTTCCTAATTTATACTATGAAGAACAGTAATGTGGAACATGTAGGTTTTTCTTTATTTCTCTATTTTTGTACCTAAGATTTGTAACTAGATACTTTGTACCTAAGATGGCTCCGTGTGTGGCGACATTGTACACTTTTCACTATACTTTTGTACTTGAGTACACATGACAATAAAATTCTAAATGCATATCTACATACTTAAATGCTGTGAGGGTTTCTGTCTCTCCCACCCTTTCAGGCAGTAGATTCCAGATTTTCACCACCTTCTGGATGAAAACATTTTTCCTCACATTCTCCTCTAAACCTCCCGCTCCTTCCGATAAATCATTATCCCCACCCATTATCCCTCCACCAAAAGAAAACATCTCTTCCTGTCCATGATGTTTATGCCCCTCATAATTTTATATACTCAAACATGTCCCCCTCTCAGTCTCATCTGTTCCAAGGAAACCAACCCCAGTCTATTCAACTGCTCTTCATAACTAAAATTTTCCAGTCCAGGCAACATCCTGGTAAATCTTCGCTGCATAGTCTCCAGTGCTCTCATATCCCTCCTATAATTTGGATTCCAGAACTGCACACGGTACTCTAGCTGTCGCCTTATCCAACTTTTTATACAGTTCCAGTACAATCTCCCTGCTCTTGAACTCTATGCCTTGTCTAATAAAGGAAAGCATTCCATATGCTTTCTCAACTACTTCATTTACCTGTCCTGTAACCTTAGGTCCATTTGATCCTCAGTGCTTCCCACGGGCCTACTGTCCATGATCTTACCCTAGCCTCTTTGTCCTAGTCATGTGCGTCACCTCAAAAATCCATTTGTCACTGATCATCCCATCTGTTCCTGTGATCTAACACCATCCTCCTCATGATTTACCACCAATTTTTGTATCATCTGCGAGCTGACTGATCACCCCTCCTACATTCAAGTCTAAATCATTTATATAAAGTACCACAGGCCTCCAGTCAGAAAAACACATTTCAGCCACTATCCTCTGCTTCCTGCCCCTCAGGGAATTTTGGATTCAATTAGCAAAATTTACTTGGATCCCATGGGATCTTATGTTTGCTATCGGTCTCCCATGTGAGACCTTATCAAAAGCCTAGCTAAAGTCTAAGTAGACTACATCAAACATTCTGCCCTCATCGACACACCTGGTCACTTCTTTGAAAAATTAAATCAAGTTGGTCAGGTATGAATTCCCCTTAATTAAACCATTTTAAATGTTCTTGATTAATTCCTACCGCTCCAAGTGTGGATTAATTCTGTCCGTTAGAATTTCTTCCAATAGTCCCATGATACTGAAGTTGATCCACTTTTCCTTACTCTTCTCCTGTCAGTTAACCAATTCTCTAATGTATGCTAACACAAAACAGGTCAACTTTGCTTGATTGTGATTTTCTAAATATTCTGTTGTGTCCCTAATGATGGATTCGAACATTGTCCCAATTACAGATGTTAGTTTAACAGGTTTATAGTTCTCTGTCTTGCGATCTTGCTAGGGATATTCCATTTGTGGTTTTTGAATCTGCTAGGATTTTCCAGAAGCTCTTCCTTTTTGTATACTTATAGAAGCACCTATTGTCAGTTTTTATACTCCGGACTGTCAATCTATTTTCTCCCGGTTTTTTAAGCTATCCGTTGCTGGAGTCTTTTTTCCCCCTAATCTTCTGACCAGTCACAATGTTCACAGCATTGCAAGATTTTTCTATCTCTGCTTAACTTTCATTGGTTAAATACAAATGACTCAGCTTTCTCTTGGAGTCTTCGTCAATGAAATAAAACTTTAAGTTAGATGTTAAGTAAAGTATCTGAAGTTTTAACCTATTTTCCTAGTGCATTGTTGGAACTCCACCTTCATACTTCTACAAATGTCCTTATGTTTAAAACTTGTTTCAAACCTATGTTTCTCATACTTAAACTGAATTTCAATTTTATCATGTAATGATTACTCTTCCCTACAGGATTCTTTGCTATGAGATTGTTCATTAATCCAGTATGTAGTGAATTACTTATTACCAAACCTAAACTAGTCTGGTTTCCCTGGTTCTTTCTACAATATATTGTTTCAAGAAAACATTTCAAATATACTCAACTTACTCTCAAGGTTAGATTTGCCAACTTAATTTGTCTAGTCTGCAAACATTAAAGTTGCCAAAGATTATTGCAGTACCTTTTTATTTAATAAACCACATTACATCATGATTTAACCCTTTTCCATACTATTGCTACTATTAGGGAATTTATAGACTATTCCCAGAGACTTGTTTCCATTGTTATTCTTACCCCACCAAACTGATTCCACGTCGTGATCCTCTAAATAAAGAACATTTATTACCATAGGACTGAAATTATTCTTTAGTAACAGGACCACTCCATTTCCTTTTCTTTTCTGCTTGAATCTTCTGAAATATCAGTTCCCAGCCTTCATCAAATTGTAATTAGGTTTCTGTAATGACCATCAGATCATTACCATTGATTCTTCTTAGCATCATTAATTCCAGTATCAACACAAATTTACTGTGTATTCAGATCAAAAAGCCTTTAAGACAGACTTTTAACTATTTTGTCTTATGAGTCTTTGCTGATACAGACATGAGTTGGTATACTCTGTCTCTTTCCTTTACACGCTTGCTGTCATTACCCTGCATTGGTTCCAGATCCTTTCCCCTTAACTTTCATACAAACCCTTGCACCAGCCAATTTTGTTAAAATGCAGGACTTTTTCTTTCTATTTGCAACATTTCAAAAAAAAATCCTTTAATAAATTAATTAATTTATTATTTAATAGTATAAATATTATTTATATTGCCTGTAGAACTGCTAACCTGTGACACTGTTAAATATATATCCAAAACAGTGAGAACTTATTTGCACTACATTTCTATCTTACTAGTGAATGATTTTTGAATTGGCATGGGTGGAACAGACAAGATTAAAAAAAAGAGCACTCTTTGCCATTATTATCTGACAACATGTCAATGTAGATTTCATGGACAAAGGTGAACGACAATACATTCCATTGACCTCAAAGAAGGTTGTCCATAAAAATCTAGCAATCCCTATAGTGTGGATTTTCCCTATCCCAACATTAGTTTGGATCTGATGCTAAGTAAAAGATCTCTGGGTATTCAATAGTAGTTGTAAGATCAAGCAGAATAAGCATCTAATTACAGTGAAGCAGTCCCTCAGACAGCAAACTAGGAAGTAAAATGCCCTGGATTTTCTACTGTTGATTTTGTTTTAATGAAAAGTGTGAAATAAATTATTCTGATATATGTGATTATGTTGAAAATTAAAATGTTATAAATAAATTTCTTTTGATTTAAGGGAGAAAATTGACATTCACAAATATAAAATTAGACTTTCAGTGCCTGTAGGTGGTTCAGAAATAATTACTAACTTACCACACTGCCACAAACACAGAAAATATTTAATTTGTTCTCAGAACAATTTTTTTATAGCAAGACTAACAGCATAAAAGAGAGCGCTCTGGTCAGTTCAGTGGTTTCTAGAAGATTTCAGCGTGGAGTGAGTTCAACAATGCATCCTGTGAGGAAACATATAATCTCTGGAATTCCATATTTAAACACATGTAGACTCAGAAGTTGCTGCAGTTTCAGACATGTAATAATGGTGATTGCTCGCAGGAGAATTATAATTTCGTTATCAAATCCATCCACAAAACAGTAACAAAACTAATTTCCCTCATGGCACTGTCATACCAGAGAAGGTAGATGGAATTCTTGGCTAAAAGTTGACTAGTTCAGTATTTGTGAAATTCAAAGAAATTCTGCAAGGATAAATGCATATTGGATCAATTTTAAATATTTGTGCAAAATCATCCATGATTGTGTCAAAAGAAGACCACTCTGAAGCAGGCCTGCGTATTAAATTCTAATTTTAGACTTTAAATAGACCACCTACTTTAACATCTGAATAAACACTTCTGTATGTGAAGTGTGAATTACTGAACACTGCAACAGGACACACAATTTGCATGATTTAATCAATCAGTACCTCCTTTGTGCACCTTAATTAAAAATAACCTAACACAGACATTTTTGGATTGTTGCATTATTATTTACAAATACATTTCTAAGCAGTAACATAAGATTTTCAGCAACAAAGCAATAAAATAAACTGCTCTGTAGAATAAAATATTCTTATCTAACCCTTTAAAATTGTTTCGTGGACTAAAACCATAAGAACACGATTTCCATTAGATGAGGGTTTTTGTTTAAAACAATTAGCCCAATAAAATAAAAGGTACAATAAATTGATTTAAAAACTGTTGACTCATCGGAGATCATGAGTGATGTGCTCAGTTACTTGGCCATGTAAGGGTATGTGATCTGATATAATGAGGATGCAAATTTCTCCATTTGGTGCCCCTTTCCTAAGCTAAATTTCCGAAAGGAAACGGCACGTAGCACTGGCGGTCAGCCACAGCATCGCATTGCGGTCAGGGCTGGAGAGGGGAACAACGCTTCGTACTTAATATATATAACTTAACAAACGTAATTTATCCCCGATCCTCTTCTCTCCTCGAAATACGGAGGTGGGGTATTCCCAGCCTTACACATACGCCCATTCCGTATACAAGTGGGTACAGAACATCTCTGACCTGGCCCGGCCAAGGATTGGGATACATTCTCGGGAATGCACAGAACAACAGGCACCTCTCGGGGCTTTGTTTCCACAATTTGTTCGTGTATTAATATAATACACACATTGTCTGACTTGGTAGAAAACAGATAACGATTGTCCCTCATTCCTTTTGTGGGTTTCTATAAAAACCTTTGCATGATTCAAGCATCCGAT